GGTTTTATAATTTTTTGGGATTTTTGAATTTTTAACTTTTTTTGTATTTATTTGGTTTTATAATTTTTTTGGATTTTTGATTTTTTAACTTTTTTTTAAATTATTTGATTTTATATATTTTTTGGGCATTTTGTGTTTTTATTTTTATATTCTATTAAAATATTGAATTATAATCTATTAAAATATATGTATTATATCATATAATCGTAAACAAGTAAATGCAGGTATATAAATAATGATTTCATATATTTTATAACTTCTATATATGTAATATACCTAACTATATCACATGGGTATAATTTTAGTAAAAGGGTACTGCCTAAATTTGATGATTTACATACGGGTACGCTAAAATAGCAGACACACCGTGAACAAATCGCAGAATTGAGAATATTCATTCATAATTTCTATTATTTGGCCACGTGTAATATATACATAATAATAGGATTACAAGGATATATATATAATGTATATGTAGAACAATGGATTAAACACATCTTAACCTAGTATTACTATATGAAGTATCTACATTAACTAATTTTCTTAGAATAGCTACGCCACCTGGATATATTCCAAGAACTGATAGAAATAAGAGTGGTGCCCAAGAATTTTGTATATACGTATATTATATACACTAACACAATAGAACGATTCACAATAAACGGCATTCACTCAAAAATAAATTTATGAAAATACGCCTTTAAACGGTTTCTTTAAAGTCGATTTTCAAACAAACATTTTTGTGGCAATACAGAATATTCCTTACCGTCCGACTACATGTAATTATACATATATACAAAATCGTTTATCTATAAATACCCAAATGAAAATTATAATTCTTATTATTTAATAACCCCCGACACAAAAAGACTGATGTTTGCCATATGTGTCTGTCTGTGGTATCGTAACTCCTAAATGAAATGATTGCTCTTAAATTGATGTGATTTAGATGGCTTTTTGAGGCGGGGGTCAGTTAAAATTGTAATATTACATCTATCATGCACTTACAGCTATTGAAAAGGGAATAGTAAAATTTTGGTAAATTTATCGAAATATTACAAGGAAATTTATAGCGATATTTACAATCTATAGGTAGGCACCTTACTAAATGAACTATTGCTATTTATAATAAAGAAAGTGTTATTAATTTACAATTTCGGGGTTTACTTTTTTGTATTATATTTTGTACTTTACGTTATAATATTTGTAATAGTAGGTCCTAATTTATTATTATTATTACAAATCGCATATAAAAAAAAATTGTAAAGCAAATGTCAAAGACTAGATCTGAAAAAGTATGTACCTAATTGTATAATATAGAATGAAATTAACGATAAAACTTGTAATTATATATTTAAGCGTTAAATTGAAATAAATACTGAGCTACTTATTTTTATAGTAATCTGTCATCACAGCTCGGCTGTAGATTAGCGTCGGTAATTATGTTATTTGTATTATGTTAGTTAGATGGTGACTAGGCAAAATGTAAGTTCTTTATACATCTCATAAATCTTAGTTGCCGACTAACTTCTCTTTTAAATCATTCCGACTTATCGGCGCCGCACCGTCATTATATCTACTTATAAATACTTACTGATTCCGTATTTGATTATAAAAGCCTAGTCAGGTGACAGGGGGAAGGGATGGGCACGAACAGTTGATTACACTAAAAACCTCTACACACGGCCGCACAATCAGAAACGGAGCAGATGCGGGAGTGCTCTAGATCGTTGTCTAGATCGCATCGTGAGTAGACAAGAGGCGATCTAGAGAAAGATGGGTCCTGTCCACTCCTACTAAATTGCCACCAATTTTGAGGCCGCTTGTACACGCTCTAACATGTAATCACTATCATACCTTGTCAAAATAAAATATTTAATTGTGAGTGTAGTTAATATTATATTATACTTAAAGTACCAACTTATTGGTATTAATTTGATACTATGAGTATGATACGGTTTAAAATAGGAGCACTTAGAAATATTGAAAATAATATACTAGATAACATAAACAAATTATATTTAACCCAGTTATAATTAACCCTGTCACAAGATAATAATTATTATCTTGTGACAATGTTAATTATAATTGGGTTAAATAAAAAATTAAAATAGTATAGTATAATAACGTAGTCGAAGGGTAGGAGCCTGAAACCTGACTGGATTATATAACTGCAGTCCGTGCCGGATGCAACAAACACTCGTAATTACCAACTTATAGCTGATTATAACGCCGTTGTAAGCAGTTCGAATCCGGTTTATTCTCTGGATTCAACGTCAGCTGTATTTGCCAATCTGAGTATTAAAAGATCCACCAGCTTTTAATTCGAAAATTGCTCACATAGATGGATCGGCGTTATTAAAACTTAATTCATTTTTAATAAACAATAATATTAATTTAATTTAACATATTATAATTAATGAAAACCGGAAGTTAAATTATAATTTAAATATTTGGTTAACCAACAAAAATATGGGTAAGCACCTAACATATTATAAAAGCAACGATAAGCTACGAGAGTTTATTGCTGGTGTTTGTTCTCAGGCGCTTGTGAGTCGGTAAGTTTTTGTACAAGTAGGTATAACTTCACAATATTTTTCGAATCAGATGTAAATTACATTCATTGTCATCGCTGTGGGCGGCCGATTCAGTCGACTGTGACGTCAGCATTTTTATTTGTGACAATTCAATAAATTGTAAAAAAGAAATCCAGAACGAATAATAGCGTTTAGCGTTTTAAGATATTGTCAGTAGATGGTATAATAAAATTATTTTCGTCGCGAATAAAAAAACATAAATAGTAAACTAATATAAACCAAGCTCTTGCGACTTGGTAACTTAAGTTTTTAATTTACTTAACAAACAAAATTACAAATTTTTACAGACACAATTATGTGCTAAAAGGAAAACTTTTAGAAAGAAATAACCTCTTTTTTGTGGATATTAATTTTGTACATGTTATCGTAGTATTATTATATGATATAAGATTATATTTACAGTATAATATTATATATGTAATATCTACCTACATCTTAAAAATATGATCTCAAAAAGTTATATTGAATTATAAAAATAAATCTCTATAATAATTTATAAACATATTTACATATGCATAGTACGAAATTTTTGAAGTGTAAGTCTTGGAGATTGATTTGGATGCAAGTCTGCATAAAATTGGAAAATATAGGGGTAGGGTTCCGTAGGGGAGGGGGTGGGTAGCAATCAGGGGTAGTAAAGAAAGCCTAACTAGGTATTTTATCTACTGACTTTTTACAGCACTACGTTTTTAAAGCGTTTATTCTCATTTTTAAAGGACCTTCACGATCAGGTTCTATTATTTTATACGTGTTCCTAGTGAGGCACCTACCTATACTATTTACGTATATAGTATATTATATTTATTTGTACCTAACTATTGTACCTATTTATTAGTAATCAACTACAGCTAAGATTTAATGTAATAAAATAGATTATATATATTTGGGTATTAAAATATTTATATGAAATCTATTATAACTAGGATATTAATGTAGTAAAATAGAATATATATATTTGGGTATTAAAATACTTATATGTAATCAACTATAGCTAGGATATTAATGTAATAAAATAGATTATATATATTTGGGTATTAAAATAGAGGATTATCATATGTAAGAAAATAGAGAAATATATATGTGTATGAAAATATATATGTACGAAAATAATATATATTTTTAGTATTTTTTGGTTTTTTATTTTTTTTGTATTTTAGATTTTAATTTTTTTTTGTACTTTTAGAATTTAAACTTTTTTTGTACTTTGGGAGTTTTAATTTTTTTTGTACTTTATTGTCTTTATAATTTTTTTTGGAATTTTGGATTTTTAATTTTTTAGGGATTTATTTGTCATTTTTAATTTTTTTTTGATTTTTATTTATGTTTAATTTTTTTTGGATTTTTTGTTTTTTCTTTAACTACTAATACTTAATATCTGACTAATATTTATATACACTACTAATAATCGTAGTACACTAACTATTCATAAGACTTACACAGCATAAAATATACATATGTCTACTTCGCTACTAGGAGTTAAAAAACATTAATTTATAACATAAAAAAAAAACTGACCGATTATCTGATGAAGTTGCTAACTATTCATATCTGTAACAGATACAAATTAACAGTACTGTGATCCATTTAAGTACAATTTAACAATAACAATATCCAGCCCAGATGTACTGTCAAATAGCACTATCATAAATACACACTGTCCGTTTGGATCTGTTACGAACTAGAATTACTAAGTCCTATTGCAATGTATGTTTGTAATGTAATATATGTTATATGTAATGTTAAATAAATGAACTGAAGTTAAGACATGGCACCGTTGGAATTTAAGCTCGGTATAACACATTGGACCACTCGAGTCGTTGTGTTATACATACAAACGAATATAATATAGCAAATGAAAAGAGAACTATATACATATACCGAAAGTTTAAACTATGAGAGAAATTAACGTAGGCATCAAGTAATAAACAATGTAAAAATACTATAATATATATATGTATCTCTACTAGTGAATCCATCCAAAGTCTAATTGGAGTGGATGTAAGCACATCGCGGTAGCCATAACATGTTCATGTGTTAACCTACTGATAAATATTTGAAGTGATAACAGAATATATGATTAACAATGCCAGTACGAAAATATATGTGTAAATATATGGATGAACCATTCTATAGTATATAAATATTTCAAACTCCTAATAACTTTCCACGGCGGCCCGAAAGCTGCCGAGCATATATATCTTATATATGTCAACGTCTAAGGGAAAGTATATACAAAAGAGATAGTAATATCTGTGTGGCGATTTTTCCGTCCATTTTAGATGTAGTTTAAGGCGATTAGAGACCTGAATCCTCGTCAGGAGGTGGTACACCGGCAGCAGACATCTTGCGTCGTTCGAGTCGCGCGCGAGACACTGGCCGATAGTATTGCTCACTGCGGCGTCGTCATCGTTCTGGAGTCGGGGTTTCCGACTCCAGTTCCATCCACAGAGAGCTAATGACGGGGGCTTCTGTTGACAAACAAACATATAACTATAATATTGGACACGACAGACCTTCCTTGAAAGTAACTAACAATTAAGGCGCCTTTTCCCCACTGGGCACACTGGGCACGTGTCCAGGGCCCCGCGATGGTTTGGGGTCCCCTAGTACATCTATATAGTATACTAGCAGTAATTTAACTTTATTTTTCTAAAATAAAAGTAGCCTAAGTTACTCATTATTACATCAGTTACCTGCCAAAAAAAGTCCCGTCAAAATCGGTACAGCCATTTCAGAGATTAGCCGGAACGAACAGACCAACAGAGAGACAGACAAAAATTGTAAAAAAAATATTTTAGTATTTATATAAATACGGTACATACATATAAAACGGTTATTTCAAAATTACAAACCTAGTCCCAAAATAAGCAGAGTTTGTTTTATGGGTACATGCATAGAAAACTCCCAGACCAGACAAATAATAATACTCATGAATACAATTTGACTTTGCGAGGAATCGTACATGTGACCATCGGAAGTAAGGCTGCTAAGTGTGCTAAATCACTAGTCCACTGAGCCTGTCCAACTATATTATACTCTAATATGTATAGATATGTGTATAACTGAGAATATATTTGACTTATCATAAATGCATGCAATTAGATCTATGTACATACATGCTATACGAATTATTTGATTTGAAATACATTTTTTTATATGTACGGGAGTTTAATGACCTTATTTTGTCTTCCACGTTGGCGACAATACATGTTGAAAGGCAAAAATATGTAACTCATTAAATTTCATAATTATAAAATATCAGTGTAAAAGGAACGTAAGTAAAATTGATATAATGGATTTCATGATTGACAGATTCTAACAGAAAAGTACATTCTTTTAGATATTATTGGTTTGGTCATATTTATTTGACTTGATTAATTAAAAAGATAATCAAATCAAATAAATATGATCAAAGCAATAAATTATCTTATTAATTTATCTTAATCTTATCTATTATTAACTTAAATTATTATTATTATTGCCCTTTGTTCTGACTTTCTTAATATTTATACAATATCTCTTGGTCGTCTGCTCTTTGTACTGTTAACTCTGTACTGTCTTGTGTGATCCTGGTCCATATCTTCCCTGCTGTTCTATTTCATCCTCCCACCTTCTTCTCTTTTTATGGATGATAATGTAATGGTGCACCCGCCTGCGCTAACGGTTTACGCTGGCGGAGCACCAGTGGAGGATGATAAGATGAACATGAAGTCAGGTCAGTTAGCCCATCGTGATAATTTCACCTAGAATTTATCACGATAGGTTCCAGGGGAACCGCGTGGAGATCTATTTGACATGGTACATTGCTAGACATAAGATCATCAGTCCACATTACTAAGAATCACCTTTCCCACCAGACAATTAAATTGTTAATTCTAATAAATCATAGTTTCAAGATTAACTGTAATTGCTACTAATAATCTCTCGGGTGGTATCGAACCACTTAGTTTGAGGCGAGACTTCGCTTCGCTTTGTGTGTTCTACTGATTATACAACGGAGTGTGTTCTGAGGAATTGTTCGACATGATGCCTACAACCACCTTTTACCATCGCACCGCTCGCCATCGACAGGGAATTCATTCCCACACGTTGGAGCCTAAGTGATCTCGGACAGTGCGGTTTCAGAGGAGCTTCCTTCCGCGTACATTTAGGTTATGGAATGAACTTCCTGCCGTGGTTTTCTTACGGGACTACAGCATGGGGTTTTTCAAGAAGGGTATATTAAGGTTTCTTAAGGGTTTTTTTTTTTGAGGGTTGATAATGGAATGGTGCACCCGCCTGCGCTAACGCTGGCGGGGCACCAGTGGAGGATGATAAGATGAGCATGAGGTCAGGTCGGTTAGCCCGTAGTGCAAATTCACCAGGAATTTAACACGATGGTTTCCAGGGGGAACCGCGTGGAGGTCGACCTGACATGGTACATTGCTAGCAATGGGGTTATCAATCCACATTACTAACAATCCCCTCCCCCCTTTCTTAAGGGTTGGCAATGCGCACGTGACATCCCGGGTGTTTTAGACGTCCATAGCCTAAGGTAACCATTTACCATCAGAGGGGCCGTATGCTTGTTTGCTACCATAGAAGTATATATAAAAAAAAAGGTTAATTGTTTCTCTAGAATGTGGAATGATCATAAAACCGTAAACACTGTGTATACGTATAGTATAAACGCTAAGGAAAGGTATTTTGGCCAACATGACCAGGGGTAATATTATCCCATCTAATTTATTATTAATTTGAGGGGCGGTTGTGGCAGCAAACAAGTCGTTGTTTGCTCTTAGATGAGTTTTATAACCTATTTTTGGTAGATATAATAATAAAAATCCGATGGATTGAGAATATTAAATTATATTAACATCACATACATATAGAATGACGAGCGTGCATGGCAATAGTTGTTCAAGCACGGGATTTTGATTTAATGTTAGACATAGACACCTATATAAATATTCATTGTAAATAAACTGGCTTTAAAAAAAAATCAATTGAGTTTCTTGCCAGTTCTTCTCAATTCGATCTATATACTGAACTGGACGGTAGAGAAAAAAATAAATTATAATGTAAAAAATTTTACGTTCATAAGCGGCTAACATGTGCTATATGAATAAATAATTTTTTAATTTGAATTATATTGTAATAAATTCCAGTCCATGTGAATGATCGCGACACTACTGCCTGCGATCCGTCCCATATTTTTATGGGGCGTTTGAATATTTTTCTAACAAAAGTTTTTACGAGTGCACTTTAACGTTTCTAGAAGCTTCCTCGTTCGTTATTTATAGACCCATAATCATGGTTTTATGTTTTCTCACCTACTTACATTTATCTACGATTCAAAATTTGAAATGAAATAAAATTATATTAATTTATTGTTTATAAAGCTTATGTTCCTTTTTACACTAATGTTATTATAACTACAAATATAACAACAATCCCGACTCGCACAAAAGACACAATAAACTGTGTGTGTCAATTTATATTTCCACTGACTCTCCAGTGATGGAAACACCGATAACAAAGTAATCCAAGAGGCCCACTCATGCATAAACGAAATATCTCCTTTGGAAAGTTTACACTCTTTCCCGAGGAGATAAAAACCATCGCTCCTAAGAATATCCTTCAATTCTTGTCCCTGACGGGTCTAGGTAACGAACTTTGAAAAATGGCGAGCACAATAGATCTATGTAGGTCGCAGTGCTACAGGTGCTACAAACATCTGGCAATAGCCCAAACAACCCAATAAAAAAAAATGAGACGCTGCTAGGAGCTCTCTCCGAAAGGTTGAACTTAAATATATCTACCGACCGTTTAACAGATGCTGCATCCACTGATTTTTTAACTGGGGAATACTGACTGTACTGACTGACTGACACATTTGGGATAGGGCTATCCCTATTTAGAAGGTGCATTACCCCAGACGGACACACGTATAAATATTTATAATAATAACCATGTACAATTGACACGACATCCTATGTGCCCAGCTGGGCTTGTGTTGTGGATACTAGACAACAGATACAAATTTCAACACATTTTTTACAATACATATAAAGCACCCAGAACAATACAGACAATCCTACTCTTGTAGTATGTACCGTGCAAGGAATCGAACCTGCGACCATTTGAAATAAGGCGCTGGACTACCAACGCCGTTAAATTATTTACGATGTTCAACAAAGTTATTTATTTATCTATACATAAATTAAATTGGAGTGTCTGTTTGTAATATTGAAATAAACGTTTTTTACTACATGCATATGAATATAAATACGGTACATACATCAAAATAACATATTTTACAATTGATGTCTGTCTGTCTATTTGTTCCGGTTAATCTCTGAAATGGCTGGACCGATTTTGACAGGACTTTGTTGGCAGGAAGCTGATGTAACTTAAGCTAGTCTTCTTTTAGAAAAAATCTCTAATTAACTTTTTTGTTCAATTCCACTCGGACGGACGACTGTTCCTTCGTAATTTACATAAAGTTCTCCAGTATGTTATCTACATTTACTAATATGTTATTGTAGTTTAGAATACATACCAGGTTTCTCTTCGGGGACGGGCGTTACTGGACATTTAGGCCCTTCCTCAACACAACTCCTCTCGTCTGGGAACTGGACATGTTTCTTTATTGCTGACCGGCTGGTTTTCGAAAGCATGGAAGCTGTGAATTTAGAATCTTTTGAGTATCTCTGTACAACTTTTCTACAACATTACAGATAACAGATGAGAATGAATGCAATGTATAACATTCGTTCAGCACAGCGTAATCTAGTTTGTCGAGTACACACTGAAAAAAAGTAACTACTAAACTAATATTAATCGATAACAAAACTTTAGTAATAAACAACAAAGTGTTGGTTTTAATGATAAAATATTGTTCATAAATAGTCATACTATATGAGTAACCAGTAGTAAGTTAGTATTAATTGTTTTTGTGTTAATTACTAAAATTTTTACTATTTTTTCAGTGTGTCTTAACATGAAATTAAGGTTTTTTGACCATGGCTAGTCCAAACTAGCCGAAACGTCAAATTAGTTAAATAAATTATTTAATATTAAAAAAGATACATTCACACATGTCGCCGGAGATGGGGTAGTCAGAGTCATTGAATGTATTAAATGACTCGACAAACTACATTAATATGAATTTTCTAATTTAAATGTAACGTGACCACGGGTTTCGTTTTGGATGGAAGCATCCTTTCGTGACGATTGGGACACCGGGGTCCCACGAAAAAACCAGGACTCTAAAACTGTCTAGATTTCATACTGTTGGTCCATTGCTTGAAATCAAAGTTATAGGCAGATGCCAATAATTTTATTCTTAGTTAAAATTCCTATTCACTGGTCTTAAACCTTTTGTTTTGCTGACATATAGAAACCAATTCGTCTTGCTTTCGAACTTGTAACAAAAATGATTTTAAAAAGTAAACATATATTTTTCAAAATGCTGTTTACTTATACAACGGATCTATTAACTGAAATAAGACATCGTCAAACCTTAAATGGTCACGTTACTCATATGATGTTAAAAAGAAAAAGAATATAAAGCACGAATACATTCTGCAAGAGAAAAGAAGATGATGCCTGCGAGACTTAAAATTATAGTTGCCTAAAGTTTTGTAAGGAAGCCATGCCAATCAGCTGAGAATGGCATAAGTTTTGTTCGGGCTATCTGTTAACAAGTGTGCGCGTGGCGTTAGGCGGCGAGACTACGGGGCGTAACTATTCTGTGCAGCGTTAGCAACGCAGTAGGGTTCACGGGTAGCTTAATACAGGCTTTATTAACAAATTATGTCACAGGACGAACTGTGGCATTGACAGACAAAAAGTTGGGTCACATAACGAAATTACTGTATTGAAGTATCAAAACTCGAAATTTGAACTAGCTAAATTAGCTCAAATTTCAAAATATGTGACTCTGGAGAGGTCCGTAATTAAGACCGAACGTAACAAGATCTGTGATTTTGACACCCCTCCGCCCGGAGGGGTCAGAAAATCATAGATGCTTGTGACGTATTTTATGAGAAAAAAATAAGTTTATGTACAAGATTTAGCGGAGCTAGGGACGTGGGAAGCGATTGTATTACTGGAGAAATTGCGAAGCGCGTGCCACCTCTGCTGTTAGCTACGAGCTAGGGTTGCCAACGCTTACTTACCTTCAAAATAGAAATGAAAACTCTGATAAAATCTTCTACATTAGCTTACAATTTGGCTCTCTAACATAGTACATCAAAAATTTTGTACGAAAATTCGTATGGTTGGCATCCCCGCTACGAGCGACGTCGCCGAAGTATTAAGAAAAGTGAAAAGTTAAGTGTAGTCATTACTAATATAATTTGTGAGTTCCTGACATGAATAATTAAACGGAAAGTGAAGTACTTGTTTGAAAGTATTATACTGAGTTCGTGATCGCGTAGAAACAGCGAGTGGAGTAAATACTGTTGTTGGAGACCAACCGTCGCGAACTCTTCTGATATTATTTTTGTTTTTAATTTTATAGTTTGTGAACTGTTCTTTCAATATGTCAGGTTTATTCATATTTACTCTTATGATCTTACCATTGTTCAAAGTTGAGTTTTAATATACGTGTACAGTGCATCGATCTGTTACAACTTTATTTTTAATTCTTTCTTGTCAAGACTCACAGAGTACATTAATAACGTGTTTGAAGAGTTAGTTTTAGAGTAAGTTAGTTAGGTGTAGTGTTTTTGGTTATACGAGTACAGCTTTTATAATTTTTAGTTTTATTAATTTCGTTTAATGTCTAACTTAAAGAACGCTTGCCAATTTGTTAAATTTGTAAAATAGTTTCCAATTGATAAATGAGAAGAATGATGATGATTTGGATGTAAACACAATTTAGAAATAAAATATTTTTATGCCAATTCAGTTAATAATAACGGACCACCTAATAGAAAGTGTAACAGGGAATAATTGTCTCGTGATGACAGTGGTACTGTACGTTGCCATTGCTAAGGTGTTATGAACATAATTTCACTGCTTCATGTTAGTACTGTAACAACCGGAATATAACGTATAAAATAATAGCGGAAGGAATAGGGCCGATTCAGACCATTAGATCTGTCATTAGTTGGGACAGTATGTGAACTAAACAAAACTATCTTTTGAAAGGGACAATGAGTCATATCAGATAAAAAAATTAATTTGTGTTTCTTTAAAGTGTATACAGTGTAGGGGACGCACACAAGATCCGATTACTCTACTGAGAAAGTAGTAACATTAATCTATAGACCTGAACAAGACCACGGGTAAATCGAACATAAAGGTGTCATGCCTAATCAAACTCAGATGTTGCTGTGATTGCTCACAGCAAGCTGCTTAACATAAAAACAGGTGAGACGGGGTAAAAAAAACAAATGAAATTAGGATAGTTCAATAAGTATAGACGAAATAAATGCTGAAGGAAGTCGTAGAACTGAAATTATACGTTTACTATTCGCACAAACGTTAGCGAATGGGCTGTCTCATGACCCCCATGGGAACCGTTGTGCGACGCTAAACTTTCTAAATATGCGTCCCCGATTGTACAGTATTGTTAGTCCTCCTTTAAATGAACTATTCCGTTAGTATGAAAAGAAAAATAAATGAGTTATAGACCAGTAAATATCTTTTACCAATAATTTTCGGACAATTTTCTAAGCGTCATGGAGTGAACTACGTAAAACAATTCATGTGAAATGTGAAACAACAACAGCATTCATGCAACGATTGTCAATGCCTGAATGAAATTAAATGGGATCTAACCAGACGAGTCTCTAAACGACAAGGCAGATAACCAGGTATAAGAGCGCAATGACGAGATATCAATTGTCCGCAGCAGCACCGAGCTCTGGGTACACGAGGAGTAACTAAATAAAGAGAAATCACAATATTTTAATGACAAAATACATAACCAACAACAAATTGCAATTAATTTAAAAAGTACATGGAAATTTAGGATTTCATACTATACATCCACGACTGCAAGTAAACTGCAGTCGTTTTTGGGCATAGTATTTCAATTTGGTAATAGTAATTAAATTGAGAGTTTCCTAACGGCTTGAGAGTGATTATCACAAGTCGATGACGATAATCATAAATGGGCACCTACGCATCGCGTAGGTACGTTGAATACTAAGGAAAAATCATAATTATACATACAACAAGAGGCGACAGATATAATAATGGCGTGCATCGCTTTTACCTGTATTTAGATGGTATATGGTATATAACACCATACTTGTTACGGACCGCAAACCTTTGCTATGTATAGTCGGTCCAAATAAAGGTATTCTAGAAAATCAGCAAATACATTACAGACATGTGTATTATTTTTAATTTATATTATTTGGTTATAATTGCACCGGATGGCTTTTGTTAAGGTTCGGAGAAAATTAGGGCGCATACGCTGTATGTTATATAAGTACTAATGACACTAAAGGGATTACCATCAATTCTGTCTAAGCAACTAATATTGTAAAATATTCCATTGCATGTTACACATACAGCTAGCAACTAAGTATTTTTATAGCATGTGGAACGACTACGCCTTGAAGATCGGAATCGGAGAGTCATATTTTTGGTAAATTATCCAAAACATTACAGTCTAATACGTTCTTTCTAATAATGATTCTAAGAAATACATAAATTATGAAATAGCCTCCGAATAAATACATAACCATTTTTTTAATTTTAATGTCAGTGGAATGATTGTTATTGTGCCATATTTTTCTCCTCACGGTAAAGAAAATCAGCCGGTACAACTGTGTATGTGACAGGTAAATTTAACAATGCCGACTACTCGTGTCGAGCTAGTCTACCGCCAATAGCAGCTGGGGCAGTTGCGGGCGAGTCTTGTGACAACGCAATTCGTCTACGAATTTGACCTAAAAATTTTGAAGCCAATCAGTCGAACCTAAAACTTCCAATAAATGCTTTGAACCTATAAATTTTGACCTAATAGTTATTTCTGCAGCAGCCACAATACGATGCAGTGTCCCCACAGCATCGAATCTCACGCTTCTTAATTGGCAGGTAGCTTAGCTCCGCTGCCTACGCAGTGACGAGAATTCGGCAGTTATCCGACGTTGCAATGGCTAATATTGATTATTTTATTTACATCCACAGCAACATGTCTTAAGAAATATTACTGTGGAGCAAGCGGTTGATATTCAAACAATATTTATTTTATATTACTAAAAAACCTTGCGGTCATGCGTCCAGAAGAAATTCTGCAGGAATGTTTCTAAGAATCAAATAGCCTTACAATTGCTTCTTAGTAAATATATGAAAACATATGTATGTCAGGAATATATATAATATTTCAGCAAAGTAAGCGAGCACAATGTAAAAACTTACGCAACGTAGATTTAAGGCTTCTGGCGTTTTGTATAATTAAAAATGTTAGCAATAAGTTTATTGGGCAAATGCGTGAGTTTTTACAATAAACTTCCTGTGCAATAAACTTTATAATGCTAGATTTAAAAACAGCTGACAGTATTTTCTGTATTAAATTTTTATACAATTTAAATAGATACATATATTACATATTAATACGAATTATAGTTGCTGATAAAGACTGCGTAGCAAGTGAATGTTATAGAAACTATAATTTCTTGCTGTATGCCTCTTAAATTTCTGCATATTAACATAAGCTACTATATAAAGTGCTACCAAATCGTTTGCATTCCCTTACTAATAATCATATTTATAATTATATCTATTACAATAATGAAGAAATTTCATATATTGGAAGTATTAAAGTATAAAAAATATACCAAATTTTAATCACTCCAATAAAAGAGGTTTGTTTTATTTTAGGCAACTGTGATCGAAGAGACAAAAGATGATTTTAAAACTGCGAGTTTAGTACAAAACGAGTAAGATTTTGTCTTTATAAAATAATATGGTTTTGTTTTATTCCGAACATTTGAAACAACAAAGTCATAAAGGTACAAAGGTTATGGGATGAGTTATTTTAGAACTGTCCTCTGCAGAAGGAAATGCATATGATTTGGTAGTATTCTATATATATTTTGATATATAGAAATATGTGGAATGTGCAAGCACTACGCTTATAGCGCGGCATTTAATTTAGCAGCTGCGATATCTGGTGGCTTCAGTGGCTCATGCAGCGGCGGCATGCGGCTCTTCCATCATACTCGTGGACGGTCGCTACAGGTGGTTGTTGGTAAGCAGCGGCGCTGGTCACTATGACTGTGTCTAGTATACTTAAAAGTTCACAGAAATCCTAACCAATATACATTTTTTAAGAAAAGCTAAATCAGAGTTTCTTTCACATTTTCTCGGTTTATATTTAGAAATGTAGGTGATCTCATAAATTATTTCTTATGAACTTTATTTGAACACAGACTTTTTTTAATGTACCTACTCAATAATTGATAATTATGAATATTAACTTATTTATAATTAACTGTTTATGCATGTAAATATTTTCATGACTATTTTTAACTGAACTGAAAATGCTGTAAATTCGTATAATAACCGTTCAACTGCAACTACGAAAAGAACGGGAAAGAAACTTGACTAATTACTAAAATATTAATAATATACATATTATTATTATATTTAAAATAAAGCTTTAACATAACTATTACAGACTGTATACATAATATATTAAATATATTGAAAATCATGAACTACCAATAATATTAATAAATAACAAATATTTATAAGCAATCGTTTACAGTATTCGACAGGAATTTATTATAATCATGAAACTTTATCATAATGAGATGAGTTCAAATAATATCTTTCTAATTACTGGATTCCCAAAATAGTGGAGCAAAGTATATAAAATATTAGCTGTGGATAAGACAATGTTCTGCGTAGAGATCAGTACTGTATCAATTTAGAGAATTCCATTTCTATCAACTCCGCCGAGAATTGAAGCCGCAATCTCGTTTATAGGATCCAGTTATATTAACATCGTTCGTAGGAGGTTAATATTTTCTCTGTCCAGGTATAAAGTTACATTTATATGGATTTTGTATAAAGCATCGGTTGCAATTTAATTGTTTTTTAGAGAAACAAGTTTAAGTGACACCTGATGGATAGTTACAACCGTTGCCTGTAAACTAAAAAAGATTGAAAAACTAACTAATAAGCTTTAGTAATAAATACTAAAATAATTATTACTATTTACGAAAAACAAAATCATCTACTACTAGTAATTATAATTGTTTATTTCTAGAGTAACCCAACTAAGGACTATTTTATTCAGTGTAAAATGGAATAGCACCGGAAACACCATGTATTCAATATATGTAGCCGAGAACTTAAGAGTAACATATACTTTCATCTACAAGTAAGTTATTAGGCGCGTAAACTGCAATATATGGAGCCATATGGAAGCACTATAGACCTTAAAAATGGCAACAATTGTCAGATGTCATAAGTCGTACATGTTGAGTTTGTGATGCTATTCCAGTATATATATATAATATTTATCGGTTTTTACATTCCATCAGGTGTATGACTGTCACATTATCCAGCATCAAAGTTAAAAAGTTAATTGCAACTATCATATTACATACATGTTTTAAAAACTACTCTAAAGCTATCAACTATAATATACTATTTGCAATAAATCTATATCTATAAATATACATAATTATATATTAATAATATTACACAAATAAATTTATAAATTTTTATTATATTCTCTAATTTACAATGGAATATTTTAAACTATCTCTAATTTAAATATATGTTTACATTACTCTAATTTTAATTATTTTTTTAGTATAACATTACGGTAAGTATGTATGTACTATATGTGAATCAGGGTTGTCCAAAATAGTTATGTTATTTTTAATAAAATATTAACTGAATCTGTACTAATGGTATAAATGCGTAAATTCACTATTGAACTAAATCATCGCATCTCATTGAACATTGAAATATCACTGAGTCTGGATTAGAGTTAGTTAGTTTTTATCTGAGAATAGCAGAACTTCGGGCAACAATAATTTGTCACAGTTCTCGTTATTTCCGCTACGCTTTCTTGTTATCATCATGATCATAATTTTAGGCCAGAAGACGTCTTGCTGAATTAAGCCATTCCCCAAAGGCCTGCGCTTTCCAGCGATCTTGACCAGATCGTCGGTCCACCTTGCTGGAGGCCTTCCCACGCTGCGTCTTCCGGTCCGCGGTCGCCACTCGAGGACTTTACTGCCCCAACGGCCATCTGTCCTACGAGCTATGTGCCTGCCCATTGCCACTTCAGTTTCGCAATTCTTAGGGCTATGTTGGTCACACAGGTTCTTCTGCTGATCTTCTAATTTCTTATACGATCACGCAGAGAAACTCCAAGCATAGCCCTCTACTTTGAATGACTGAGCTTATTTATGAGGCCCATAGTTAACGACCATTACTTTCTTAATATAACTAGGGTAAGTTGGGACAGAATGTCATAAAGAATAAAGATCGCTCGTGGTACAGAAGTTTTTTGTTTTAAATAAATAAAAACAGCTGGCATAATGTAAATGAAGACGTTCCCAAATTCACATATTGTACATAATTTTTTACACATTAAAACTAATTAATTAATATGCAAATGGTAAATTTAGAAAGACTTGCAGATATATAATCCAAGCCCATTCATACATACACTATAAGCTCGTCTGTACCAGTTATAATACAATTTCATAAATGTAGCTATAATTGTCGCATAAAATATAATCAGAAAAACAATGTATAATAAATCACACAAACCAATGGCGCGGCCTGGTGCCTCAGAGAAGTCTTCAGGGTCGTGGCGGCTGGGCATGGGTCTACCACCCGAGCGACGGCGACCACTCGCCACCGAGTTGGTAGTGATGGTATGCTGACCATGTGCAATGAATTGCACTGCTATAATCTGGGACAAACACAATTTATGTTACAAACAATAATAATAATCTCAGGACAATTCATACAGCGCCATCTTGTCTCAAATTAAGCTACTAAAGGGTCATTGACTCATATTCGTGAACGAGTACTGCAGTCAGTGATAAATTCTTGGTGAATTTGTCACGATGGGAACTGACCTGACCTTATGCTCATCTTATCATCCTCCACTGGTGCCCCGCCAGCGTAAACCGTTAGCGCAGGCGGGTGCACCATTCCATTATCAACACTCCAAAAAAAATACATATAGTATGAAATAATCTCTCCGTTTTCGTCTGTCTGTATTTATTTATCAGCTTATTTATTTCAAAGAGATTTACTTTTGATTTTTTTTGTAACACATAAGTGGCAATCTAGCATACGGCGTATCTGATGGTAAACGGTTACAGTAGCCTATGAATGCCCGAAACACCAGGGGTGTTACGTGCACGTTGCCGACCCTTAAGAAACATTGATCATTTAAATAAATTCTTGTTTATATTATAGAACTAGCTTTTGCCCGCGGCTTCGCTTGCGTTTATTTATGCCCTTAGGGGTGGAATTTATCAAAATCCTTTCTTAGGAGATGCCTACGTCATAGTAGCTTTATGCATGCAAAGTCTCAGCCCGATCGGTTTAAAATTGACAAAGTTTCATACAAACTTTCATCCCCTATTATGTCTCTTTTGGAGTAGAATGAATAAAAATCCTTTCTTAGCGGATGCCTGCGTCATAACATCTACCTGCATGCCAAATTTCAGCCCGATCCGTCCAGTTACAGTGCGTTGATAGATCACTATGTGAGTCACCTTTGAGTTATATATATTTAGATATATGTTGCAATAACATAGTTGGTAAATGCGAACGAAGTCAGGGTCGCTAGTTATAAATACGATTGAATCCAATTGTAAAAGTAGAAACTGTAATAGTCAGAGACGAGACCCCGGTGGGGCTTCATTAATAATCTTGTACAATTTCTCATCCGATACAGATCTGCAGATGTAGTTCCGGTAAGCGGGGAGTTTTAAAATGTACGACCATTTTATTGTTATACTAATCTAGGTCTGGATATTACTGTGACGACCTCGGTGGTCTAGCGGTCTAGCTTTACGTCCGATGGTCGCGGGTTCGATTCCTCGCACGGTACAAACATTTGTATTTATGAGTATGATTGTTTGCATCGGTCTGGGTGTTTTCTATGTATAATATGTATGTATTTACGAAAAAAAAATCTATGTATTTGTATCAGTTATCGAGTACTCATAATACAAGCTTTAACTAGCTATAACGTGGGTCTAATACTTTTTTCGTCGTTATAGATTAAAAAATTACATGTTTCTGTGCAAACTTTCATTCCCTATTCCCATAAGGGTTAAATTTTTACTTTGAATGTCATATTAAATGTTTATCATCAAAAACTTAGAAATTTTACGACGCAGACAGGTCGTCAATCAAATAATAATTAAATTATTACAGCTGCAGTATTTGATAATAAAGTCCTCGATACAGTTCAAACATTTCAAATGTATAATAGAAATTTTCAATAATTAGCATAATTTAACAATTATAATAGAATTTCGACTATCTGTCCTTGAACATATTTAATACTGTACAAAGAGCTACACTACACTACTATGCACTGAAAGGCTTTCAGCAACTGTATTTTCATGTACGATTAAATATTCTGTATTCGTGTACATGCATGTAGCAGTCGATAATTTGAAGAATAGAATAGAATAGAAAATAATTTATTTAAATAAACTTACATTGAAGTACTTTTGAATAGTCATCACATTTTTTAATCTACCGCTCATTCGGAAAGCTGTCTCATCACAAGAAGAACGAGCAGGAAACTTGCATGTTGCTCTTTAATAATTAATATAATTTTATATATATATATATGACGACCTCGGTGGTCCAGCGGTCTAGTACACCGCTTTACGACCGATGGTCGCGGGTTCGATTCCTCGCACGGCACAAACATTTGTATTCATGAGTATGATTGTTTGTATCGGTCTGGGTGTTTTCTATATATAATATTAATGTATTTACAAAAAAAAAAAAATATCTATGTATTTGTATCAGTTATCTAGTACCCTTAACACAAGCTTTAGCTAGCTTAACTTGGGTCTAGATGGCGCTGTGTGAATTGTCCTGAGATTATTATTATTGAGATTACTAAATATAGTAAAGTAATAGTAAAAATAATTTTATTATTACTTTACATTTTTATTTTTAAGTTTAAATGTGTGAATACAAACTACCAGTATTGAAGTTTATTTAATACTGAACAAAGAGCAATATCTACTGCTACTGAAGGATTACAATTTGAGGGTTTATATTTACTCTACTCGAGCTCTCTCATATTCTACCAATCTGTTCATTTCAATTTGTAAATTTAATACACCACAAAGCAAAATACATGCACATAAATAGAGTGTGAATATGAATGTGGATGGATGTATAGGGACGCCCTAAGAAAAGATGGATGGATTGTGTGAAAGATGATATGAATAAAAGAAGAGTATGCTCAGATATGACGACCGATAGAGAGCAGTGGAAGAGAATGACATACTGCGCCGACCACAAATAATGGGATAAAGGCAAGGCAATGAATGATGAAATAGAGTGTAGCAACAGACTGCAGACATGGTTCACTATTCAATATTACATACCTGCTTATTGATATAAATTTGGAAGTTTAATTATTATTATTTTATACATATATCAGTAGGTCTGAGAATCGGCTACTATCTATTTTTAATACCCCTAAGTGATAAGGGATTTCCAACCCTTTTTTATTTTGATTTTATTATTATTTAGGATTGAAAAATACATACAACCCAAAATTTTCACCCTTATAGCATGAAACACAATTTTTTAATAGCGATAGTTATATGTATGGCAAAACAACGTTTGCCGGGACAGCAAGTAGACTATAAATTTTATACGGGTGAATGCGTGCGCACAGCTAGTTAAGTATTTAAAAAAGTGCATTGAAATAGAATCAGATTATTCTCGGAACGGACGATTTTAATTGAAATCAGAAATTGTTATAAAATGTGCTATTGAAACGTAAAATATTGGCTGAACATAGGGATAATCATTATTATTATTATTAAATAGTATAAAACATGTCTGTCCATATGTATGCTAAAATCTTTAAAACTACGCAACGGATTTTGATGCGGTTTTCTTTAATAAATAGAGTGATTTAGCAGATGCAGGGGTGAGTAGCTAGTACTCTAAAGGAAGGCATGAATATTCTCTAAAAGACTGTAGAACTTGCAGGAGTTGTTAAATATTCTCTGTTCTCTTTTTTACTTTCTTTATTTCTTTCTTTCTATTCAGTCAGTCGTATTATAAAATTAATTAATTTGTGAATTTAATATTCTACAAACGAAAAATATATACCTAATATAGGATTTAATGTACAAAACTTACAGGCATTAATAAAATATTAATTTTTCGCATGTATCACATGATATAAAATTCTCGTGTCACAATGTTACTTACTATATACTCCTCTGAAATTGATGAACCGATTATTATGAAATTTTATATGCACATTCAGTAGGTCTGAGAATCGGTTACTATCTATTTTTCATACCCTCTAGTGAGGGTTGTCCACCCCTAACATTATTTTTTTATTTTTTGGGCAAAAATGATTATTTTTTTTATTGTGTGCGATTAAAAAATACATACTATCCTAAATTTTCACCCTTCTATCACCAACCCCTTTTTTTTTATAGCGTTATTAATGTATATAGCAAAACAACGGGCACTAGACAGCCGGGACAGCTAGTATGATATAAAATTTAGGCTGTCAGTATATACGCAAATTTTATGTTAAAAATATATAAATTTATAATACAGCTGCAAGTTCTACACAAACTAGCACAACATCGTAGCTGGTAAGAATCACTAACAAACGTCGATAGTTGACGACCACATTGTTAGCAAGTTAGACGTTCAGTTAACTATAACGCTCTCTTCTATTGAAACTGACGTTGTTAGTTCTTTTTAACAGGATGTTCTAACATGACACACTTCAGTAATTATTCAATAATACTTATTTTATCAAGATACACATTATAAGTGTAGTTTTCTTGGTAGGGCGTTGTTTTATAACAACGCCCTACCAAGAAAACTACATATACCCTTAGGACCTGTGACCTTGTGGTTATCCACAAGGTCCTAAGGGTACTATATACCAAAACACTACACTCGTGTATATAAGATTATTGGTCGGTTTCAAATACAGGTACAAAATTTAAAGTACAAAATTTTTTTTTCGGTCTACTCTAATGCTGTTGGCCGCAGCTGGCCTTTACAGGTTCACCGGATGTTAGGGGGCGAGTGCAGATGGCACTGCAAACCCGCGGAAGGACTTATGGAGCGGCTGAAGGCCAACTCCTGCCTGACGGATATGACTTTAGTCTGAGGGCACCGCTAGGGGTTCGAACCTCGGCTCAAGCCGTCGTAATGTCGTTGTAACAACACAGCATTTTTTGTCGGACTACTCAAATGCGTTGGCTGCAGCTGGCCTTTACAGCTTCACCGGACGTTAGGGGGCGAGTGCAGATGGCCAACTCGGCACCGCTAGGGGTTCGAACCTCGGCTCAGGCCGTCGTAATATCGATCCCCGTTTGAATTGGATGGGAGATCGATCGGAAGGGACACGGCAGCATCGACGCAAAATTACGTAACAACTAAATTTGAATTTGTGATGTATACCCCACACTTATCATAGCAAGATAAGCAACCAATGGGAACAGTGTGAACAGACTCCCAATAGATCTGCGAAGATTAATTAGTAAAGTAAGTTGTGAATAGAATCCATAAAACTGCAGTAATTTGCTAATAACTGATAGAATGAAATTAATAAGCGTTGCTAGCGCCGCGTGTAACCTATATATACAATTTAGCTATAATTACTAATTGTGTAGTAACTGACTCCTATGAACTGAGAACATGTAATATAACCATCTTAATCAAAACTAAGCGATAATAAATATGATAATATTTAAACAGAAATTTTAATCATAATACAATTAGTATCTACCTACAGTCAGTAACTATAAGGTTCAAAATGTCCTGAGAAGATGGATCTTTCGACAATAGGTTTAAAAAATCCTACGCATATTAGATAACAATAACTTAATTTTAAAATAATAAGAGCTAAGTTTCATTTCAGTTCTTCTTTACTCGAATGCACTCCGAACTGACGGTAGATTTGACATATCGTAAAAATCTCTATCCTATATGAATAAAGACATTTTGTCATAAAAGTCTCTAATAGACATATATGAATAATATATTTTGATTTGATTCAATTCATTGACACTATCTATATCTGTTTGATTTACAAATATTAAAATTGTATCGAAACTATATATTTTTTTATGTAATAATTTAAACAAACAAAGTCCAATTCATCTGTAGTAAATTACTTTAAGGAACTGAACGAGGTAGTAACAAATAATTCTAACGTTCTTTAATCTTCTTATATATAAAATCCTCTGATACGGCTAAACTGATTTTTATGTAATTTTATATACATATTCAGTAGGTCTGAGAATCGACTTCTATCTATTTTTCATACCCCTAAGTGATAAGGATTGTCCACCCCTAACATTATTTTTTAATGTTTTTTATTATGTGTCATTAAAAAAATATATGCAACCCAAAATTTTCACCCTTCTATGACCAACCCCTATTTTTTATAGCGTTATTAATTTATAGTATTTCATAAATTACTTTTATTGTACTCGTCTTATATATAAAATTCTCGTGTCACAGTTTTCGTTCCCATACTCCTACGAAACGGCTTGACCGATTCTCATGAAATTTTGGGAGCGCATTGAGTAGGTCTGAGAATCGGCTAACATCAATTTTTCATCCTCCTAAATATTAGGGGTAGTCCACCCCTAAATTTTATTTTTATTTTTTAGACATAATTTTTAGTTTCTATTTTTTATGATACAACATACAAAAATACATACAATCCTAAATTTTCACCCTTCTATCATCAACCCCTATTTTTTATAGCGTTATTAATTTATATCTCAGCCTGAAAGACGTTCACTACTGAACAGAGGCCTCCCCCAAAGATCTCCACGACGATCGGTCCTACGCTGCTTGCATCCATCGCCTTCCAGCGATCTTGACCAGATCATCGGTCCACCTTGCTGGAGGCCTTCCCACTCTGCGTCTTCCGGTCGCTCGAGGACTTTATTGCCCCAACGGCCATCTGTCCTAGGAGCTATGTACCCTCCGGCCACTCTGGTTCTTCTGCCGATCTCCTCATTTCTGATTCGATCACGCAGAGAAACTCCGAGCATAGCACAAACTCCTTCTCTATTGTCCTTATATGTCTCTCTGAGCTTATTCCTGAGGCCCTCATGAGGCTCATAGTTACCCAAGTCTCTGTGCCGTAAGTCATCACAGGCAACATTGGTCGTAAACCTTCGTCTTGAGACAAAATACAATAAAAGTAATAAATTAAAATAATAAATAAGTAGAACTATTTGTCGCTAAAGAAACATAACATTTCTAAAGTAAAACAAGTTACGGCAAATACCATTTAACGTTGGCCACTGTACAGAAAAAGTGTTAGGAATGTTACACGCCTCTCTAGGGGAATTTCTTTCCGTACAAAAAATATTTCACCCTGAGTTTACTCCTTACTCTCAAGGAGTTTTGTTGCAAAATGGATGTTATATATAGCTGATTATGGTTTATTGTCAAATGGTTAAATTATATATAGACATACATATATATATCTTTACAATATATGTCATCATCACCATCTGCTTCTTCCTTATCCCATTTATATGTAGACAGCGTAATATGTTCATCTCTGTTCACAGTCATCTCGTTATTTACTTCTTTTCTTACCATATCATCTTTCACACAGTCCATCCATCTCTTTTTCGGCCTTCCTCTGCCCTTAACCGTCCACAATCATATGTAACACCTTCTTTAAAATATGATCTTCATTCCTACGCATTGCATGCCCATACCACAACAGACGATTACTCTTCGACCTCTCCTACACCGGCGCCACATATATATGTACATATAAATATATATCTCTAGATTTTTTAGATATATCTAAAAAATCTAGTGGGACAGTGTTTTTAATATATATATAGAACTCAACCGAAATATCGACCGATTTTGATGATATTTTTTGTGAAGGTGACAATGATAGGGGAAAATAACTTTCTATTATATATATTCATACTAGTTGCCCGTGGTTTTACCCACATGTAAAATAGCCTACGAATTACTCTGATATATAAACAATATTACTAAAAAGTATCATCAGAACGGTTCAGTAGTTTTTGCGTGAAAGAGTAACAAACATACTCAAAAACTTTCGTACAATATGTCTATACATATAAATAAAATTGTATGTCTGTTTGTAATATTGAAATAACTGTTTTTTACTACATGCATATGGATATAAATACGATATAATGTAGTATAAACCAAAATTACAATTTCTACAATTTTTGTCTGTCCGTTTCTTCCGGCTAATCTCTGAAATGGCTGGACCGATTTTGACGGGACTTTTTTTGGCAGGTAGCTAATGTAATAAGGAGTAACTTAGGCTACTTTTCTTTTACAAAAATGAAAGTTAAATTCCACGCGGACGAAGTCGCGGGATATGTTTACAAATATACTATATAAAAAACAAAGTATAATATAGTAAAATATACGTATATAGCTGTTAAAACTGTGGATATTGATTCGGTACTAAATGTACTATACAAAGTAAAGTCGTTGTGTTATGTAACAAGGCAGTCGCGACATTGCGAGGTCAATGCACTTTGCGCGACCTTCCGACCTTGCGACCTTGACATTACAGACTATTCTCGCTAGCGACTCGCTCTGACTTTACCCGTTTATTTATTAAAGTCGTGAAATAAATACTTATATTTTAGTTTAATACACTGCTTTACTTCAAATGGTTTAGAGTTCGATTCCCCGGACGGTACAAATTTTTTTATGAAATTATGATTGTTTACGTTAGCCGAGTTGTTTTATATGTCTACTAGCTGCTCGCCCGGGTGTACGTGTATTATACATATATATAAATATTCCTCTAAAATCACTCTATCTATTAAAAAAACAGTTTAAAAATTCCGATGCGTAGTATTAAAGATGTAAGCATACATAAGGTCAGACAGCGATAGCGACTTTGTTTTATACTATATAATGATAATTAAGTACTGTCTGTACCCGCGGTTTCATCCGTATAAAAGGCTATGTATTATTGTAATGTATAAGCTATATTACTGTAAAGTTTCATCAAAATCGGTTCAGTAGTTTTTGCGTGAAAGTGTAACAAACACCCATCAATCTACTCATTCATATTTACAACCTTACGCGTTTAAAATATTTGTAAGAGATATTTAAAAAAAAAAGTATTTCATTATTTTGTTTTTTTGACCTCGGTGCTCTAGCGGTCTAGCACACCGCTTTAAGTCCGATGGTCGCGGGTTCGATTCCTCGTCACAAACATTTGTATCATGACAATAATTGTTTGTACCGGTCCAGACCGGTACAAACAATTATTAAAACACCCAGGTGTTTTCTATGTATAATATGTATGTATTTACAAAAAAAATAATATATCTGTTGTCTAGTACTTATATCAGTTGTCTAGTACCTATAACACAAGCTTTAGCTAGCTTAACTTGGGTCTAGATGGCGCTGCGTGAATTGTCCTAAGATTATTATTATTATTATTTTTACTTTGTCTAAAGACTAGAAGGCATTGTTGTGTAGAGTTATTATTATCTCAAACTATTAATTTTGAAGTAAATATGTATGTTGGACGAAGTCTTTAGAGCTTCACCGAACGAATCGGGACGAACACAGTACTCAAAACCGCGGAATGACTTATGGAGCGGCTGCAGGCCAGCTCCTGCCTGACGGATACGAATTTCATCTGAGGGCACCGCTAGCGATTCCTACCTTTTTTTAAAGCAATGGGGACAAACGTGCTTGGGGCTCACCTACTGGTAAGTGATTACCGTCGCTCATGAGCACCCGCAACACCAGAGGGATTGCAAGTATGTTGTCGGCCTTTTAAGAAGGAATAAGCTCTTTTCTTGAAGGTTTCAATATCGTATCGGTTCGGAAATACCATTGCTGGAAGGTGATTCCACAATATGGTTGTGCGTGGCAAAAAGTTTCTAGAAAACCGCACTGTGGAAGACCGCCATTCATCCAGATGATCAGGATGGTATTTTAGTTTCTGGCGGGTGGTACGGTGGTGAAACTCAGCAGCTGGTATTATTCCGAACAATTCCTCAGAACACTCCCCGTGATATATCCAGTAGAAAATGCACTGAGATGCAATATCTCGCCGCAGAGCCAATGGGTCGAGTCTGTCACATAGACGTTGATTACCATTGACTCTGGCTGCTCAGTTCTGTTTGCGGTCAAATGAGAGTAGTTGGTAGTGTGGTGCTCCTACCCAGAGATGAGAACAGTATTCCATATGCGGCCGTATAAGGCCTTCCTAATATCGATTCCCGCGGCCCTCTTTGAATTACAAGTCTGATCCATCGGAGGGGTGATGATAGTCCAAATGTTTTCTATTTATTTAAAAAAAATCAACTCACCCTATCGTTACTCTCATCGGCAGCTGTCCCACGGCCTGCAGAGTATTCCTGGTACTGCGAAATGACGCACAAGATTGCGTATATCTGAAACAAACGTTTGCAGTTCAAATCGTGATGCTGAGATGTGGTAAGGAATGTCTTAGTCTTAGTTTGTCTTGTCTAACTACCAAGGTATGCTTTGTTTAAATTCTGCAAAACCTCACTTACTTCTGCCGCCTTTAAAAGCTTCTTTAATAATAGTAATAGTTTATCTTATAAATATTGCATCCCGTGATACAGGTTCTTCTGATACCTAGTACAGGCAGCAGTTCTCCACAAATCTGTAATTTTACATGTTTCGAAGGCTCTGCAGCACTTTATATTATGTATGATTTTATGGAGAAAATTATTATTATTATTAATTGCAATTATTTACGTAACCTAATTGTACAAAGAAGAACCTAAAATTAAAAAGCTTAAAAAATATAATATGATGACTAAAATATATTATTAAAAGGGGTCCCTTTAGGCAACATTCCGAAGATACTGGCAGCGTTCCCTCTTTGAATGCTAGACTAATTCTTTGTCCAAGTTAGCTGCCAGCTCTTCGGTCTTCTGTGATGTTAGGTTATGTAAATAATAAATTAATATAAAGTTACATAACATAGATATAAACTTATATAGTTTATAATACATTAAACTCTAGTTAATTGCAATATCAAATGCACATAATCTTCTATCAACACTTACAGAGAAAGAACTAAATATACTAATCCGGCAGTAGAAATAAAAATACAGTGGCAGGTAGAAACAGTGCAAACTCTCCCAATTATTATTGTCTACAGGACTCATTCCAACATCCCTACACACTATCCTCAAGTTATTATAACTTCATCAACTTACTGTCATAGTTCTTCAAAAAGCTGTAATACTAAACACATATATAATTGTATGCAATTCTATATTTTCCGTTTTAAAAATCATCTTTCTTTTATAGTTAGTCTTTGATTAATGATTGTCATCCGCAATGACAAGTCTATCATCCCAAAGGGATGGATGGAAGATATATCTCCCTTTATTATATATAAAATCTATTCTGTAGTAATTCTATTATGTATTATATATAATATATTATATATAATACATCATCATCTGCTTCATCCTTATCCCATTTATTTGTGGTCGTCGTAATATGTTTTTCTCTTCCATTCATCCCTGTTCGCAGTCATCTCGTTATTTACTCCCTTTTATCATCTTTTACACAGTCCATCCATCTCTTTTCTGCCTTTATAACCATCTACATTAATATGTAATAAAAGGGAGATATATATAAACAATAATAATTATAATAACTCTTTATTGCTCACATATAAACAAAACAATAAAAACTGTTTTTACAAAAGGCGGTCTTATCGCTATTAGCAATATCTTACAGACAACGTGGAGTGATAACCCTTGATTTGAAAATTTACCCTTTAAATCTACAAATATGTCAGTGGAAATAACAAAATACCTATGTATATTATTAATAACGAAGGACAAATCATTAAAACATTCTTATTAATATTTTAAATAGTGCCCTCTCTCTCTTCCACACATATATATATATATATATTTTTTTTCTTTTTTTTTTTTTCTCGTTTTGGTGCCACTAAAAACCAGCTGTATGTTCACGTAGGACATACATTAAAGCTGAGTGGAGTCATTTCAGTGCCTACATGGTTGTAAAAAAATATTATTTTTAATTAACTACATGGTAAATTGAGTTTATTTATATATACATTTTATTTGTTTGTTTTTTATATTGTATCATTGTTGAAAAGCACTGAATAAAATATTTTTCGTTCTTTCTTTCAAATCACACAGCGCCATCTATTCCCAAGCTAAGCAGAGCTTGCGTTACTTATCTGGTATCCATAACTCAAGCTCTGCTTAATAAATAAAAAAATGAATCTGTATTATTGTAAACATTTATTTGAAAAGAATACGAGCTGAGTTTCTTCTCAGTTCTTCTCGAAATCATTCCGAACTGACAGTAGATTTGACATATCATAAGAGTCTGTAATAGACCTAAATGAATGAAGATATTTTGAAAATAAATTGTAACTATGGTTAACAGAGACTAATTTTCGCGGATTGTTTAATAGACAAATTGGTTATTTATCAATCAACAATAGACATCTAATATCCTTCAGTCGATGCCAATTAACAGATTAATTACTTTGTAATCCTAGAACTATTACTTAACTAATCGAAATATGTCTGTAATTATTTGATACAAAAGTAAATTTACTTTAAAATAGTTTTAACAAACAATCACAGAGTTTTGTAGACGTAAAAATCATAGCCGTTTAATAGGTGCTCTACATTTGTAACGAGTATTCCAAATAAACTTACACTATAACATTTCTTATATATTTATACATATAAATAACATTTTAGTGTCTGTCTGTAATATTGAAATAAGTGTTTTTTACTACATGCATTTGAATATGAATGCGGGATATACACCAAAATAACATTTTTTACAATTTTTCTCTGTCTATATCTGTCTGTTTATTCCTTATAATCTCTGAAATGGCTTGACCGATTTTGACGGGACTTTTATAGGCAGGTAGCTGATGTAATATGGAGTAACTTAGGCTACTTTTATTTTAGAAAATAAAGTCAAATTTCACGCGTATGTAACGTGTGTAGCTAGTCATTACTAAAATTAGTTCGCATTTAGTCACCAAACACACCGCGTGTGCTCATCTACCATAACAACAATAAGTACCATATTATTATTCGAATAAAGTTTATATTTTATTGTATAATCTTTTTAAAAGTGCACTGTAACAAGCCTGTACAATATTGTTATTATAAAACAGCTCCAATTGCCATGAAATTTAAATCGGCTGATCATTTTTCACTTCAGAATCATAAATTCTTTCATGCCTACGTCAAAAATAATATCCGCTCGTGTAACGTTGCTATGTAAATAGATACGGTGCAATCTGTCGAGCTGTGGAGGCTGTCTGGTACATGATACATATACTGGTTAGCGTTTTGTAACGGACAGCAGAAAAGAAAGAGTCTGCATCCTGTCTAAATGTGAGAAGAATAGAATAGAAAATCATTTACTTAAATAAACTTAATTTAAGCACTTCTGAATAGTTATAACAATTTTTTTTAAATCTACCGCTCATTAGGCAAACTGTCTTATCAGAAGAAGAATGAGCAAGAACTTGTGTGTTGCTCTTTTAAACAATCATTGTAAGTTCACATTATAACAATTCGAAACGTGTGAATATAAACTACCAAGCAGCACTAATTTATTTAGGCTCAAATATAAAAACAATAAGATTAAATCAGTCGTAGTGATAAGAGCAGACCAGTCCCTACAAGCAGCACTCGTTCATGAGTATGACGGATGAGCCAGCCATCACTGCGCTCGACCATATTTTAGGGTGCCCAATAAGAAATGTATGGCTACAATAATAGCATAACAAAGATAATATAGTTTTAAAAACAACCGTACCGTGGCGGGGCTCCGTATAACAATTTGTTAGACTCTTACGAAGGGTAAAGAAATGTACGAAAAGAAAATAAAAATTGCATAAAATTAAAAGAAATATTTATTCATCATAATTATCTGTCACTTTTTCCAAATATTTTCAAATTAAATATAAAAAACAATTCAAAATAAACATACACTTTCCTTAACTTTTTTGCTGATGTGGGGAAAAAAGAAATAGCTTTGTTTTACGTTAAATAGTATGAAATAAAGTGTCTGTCGCTGTCTGTCCCTATGTATGCTTAAATCTTTAAAACTGCACAACGGATTTTGAAGCGGTTTTTTTAATAGATAGAGTGAAATAATCGTCTTTTACTACATGCATATGAATATAAATACGGTACATACACCAAAATATATTTTTTTACAATTTTTGTCTGTCTGTCTATTTGTTACGGCTAATCTCTGCAATGGCTGGACCGATTTTGACAAGACTTTTCTTGGCAGGTAGCTAATATAATAAGCAGTAATTTAGGCTACTTTTATTTTAGAAAAATAAATATAAATTCCACGCGGACGAAGTCGCAGGAACAGATCGTTAATAATAAATGTATCATACCGTATCAAGTATACTAACATTTTCCCTCGTCTATTTTCTATAGTATTCAATATTTGCCTTACCTATCACCATATGTAATAGTTCTTCATTTTTTACTTTATTTTTCCAGTCAAAAAGAGCAAACTGGTTAATTTTATTAAATTCTCAAATCAAATTACCTACTATAACTATCAAGGGCTATATTCCAGCGATGTGCAACGATACATTAAATTTAATTGCCTCGAGCAAAATTTTACATAAAAAATTCTGTTTCAGGCAGTAAAAACCTATTTACATGGTTATATTAGGTGAATCACGCTTTCATATTAACGCAGCGATATGGTAATTTGGCAAATTAATTAAATCATCTACTGCTTTAGCTCTTTTTTATATACTGCTATAGTGGCAAACAAGCATACGGTCCATCTGATGGTAAATGGTTACCGTAGCCTATGAACGCCTGAAGCACCAGAGCTGTCCTGTCCTGTCCACTTTAGAAACCTTAATATACCCTTCTTGAAAATCGCCATGCTGTAGTCTTGTGGGAAAACCTCAGTAATTCATTCCACAATCTAAGAGTATGCGGGAGGAAGCTCCTCTGAAACCGCACTGTCCGAGACCACTTAGGTTCTAGTGTGTGGAGATAAATTCCCTGTCTATGGCGAGTGGTGCGATCGTATCATGGTGGATATATCACTACCCGGCACATTAGCCTCTATGTGCAAATAGGCTATCACACTGGAAAGAATGTGCAAACCCTGAGGGCATTCCCGAATAGGCCTTTATGTGCAAATGGGCTATCACACTGGAAAGAATTCGCAAACCCTGAGCGCATTCCCGAATAGGCCATTATGTGCAAATAAGCTATAACACTGGAAAAATGTGCAAACCCTGAGGGCATTCCCGAATAGGCCATTATGTGCAAATAAGCTATAACACTGGAAAAATGTGCAAACCCTGAGCGCATTCCCGAATAGGCCTTTATGTGCAAATAGGCTATCACACTGGAAA